CCCCCCCATAGGTGTGCCAACCCTGATCTTCCCTGCACCATGGAAGCTTCTTTCCTAGACTGTCGCATAGACAGTGTCACACAACAGGGCCTGGGCTTCCTTCAGCGCTGGCACTCTGGAAAGCCATCCCTGTTGTGTGTGAGTAAGTCATTGCTTCTATCGCTGAGCAGTAGCCCGCTGTCTGGATACATCACTGTTTGCGGTGCCACCCGCCTGGCCGTGGGCGATCTCTGGGTGCGCGCTCGTTTCCTCTGGTGAATCGTAGGAGGCGATGGCTGTGAGGACTGAGACAGTGCCTGCTGGGGCTGTCCTCCTGTGGGAACAGGCCAGAGGACACTCGTCCAGGCCTGCCTGCCCGCGAGGCCACTGGAATTGAGCACTCAGACCGCCTGTCCTACCGGAAGGAGAGGCTGAAATAGAGAGGCGAGGGCAGGGGGGCCAGCGCCTGGAGTCCTTAGAGCCCCTTGAGGACTTGAGAGTTGATCTTTTAGACCAGGGGGGCCAGGAGAGCTCCCAGTGGGCGAGGGACAGCATGAGGCTACATCTTAGTCCGCTGAGCGCCAGGCTGAATGGGAGTGACGGTTGGAGAGAGCCCTGGCGCGTGGAGCCCAGCTCAGACCCAGATGCCTAAGCCGCGGGGCCGGGTGACAGGAAGGTCAGGTCGGTAGATGGAAGAGACTGGGCTAATCGTTTCATGAGCAGGTGCCTGCGGAACACCCTCTGTTTGCCCGGCCCTGTGCTGCTCGAGCTGGGGGGAGATGCAGGAAAAGAGACGTGCTCCCCACTCTTATGGAACCTAGCGACTGACGGGAATGGCCACAGCGCCTGTCACAGCGCCGGTGTCGTCACTGACCGAGATGCTGCTGTGGAGGAGGGGGCCTGAGCGAGGCCGCATGTGGGCAGGCGTCCTGAGTGATGCTTGAAGGTCTGGGAGAGGGGAGGGCTGCGGCTCCCCACACAGGGAACAGCACTGGCCAAGGCCGGCTGGCTGGAGGGGGCATTTCAGGCCAAGACCACTGCAGCCGGCACAGCGTGAGCGGTGTCAGAGGCTGGGGGGCTGGGACAGCCTGGGCAGGGGAAGGCGCCTTTTCCTCAGAGCAGGACGAGGATTGTCAGAGTCCATGTGCATGTGGCCGCTTTCCCCCCATCCCCAGCCTTCTCTCCTCAGTGTTGGAGTCGGCAAACTCGGCTCCCTCTCCTGGCAGGTGGTTGGAGTCCACACTTTTGGGGGGAAAGCATCCCAGGATTATTGCTGTTCACATTTTCTTAAGGAACACACGATCCTTCTGCAGGGACAGTGCATGTGTCCCGAGAGGACAAGCCCTGGGTGCTTAATTCCCCGTCAGCGTCCTTGTTTCTTGAGAGCTGGGTTTGCTGTTTGCAGAGCTTGTCGGTTCAGGACCCTGCGGCGGGGGGACTGCAGCTGTCGCTCAGCGGACTTCCCCTCATGACTGTCCCTGTGCTCTCGTCGCGGGCATCCCAGGTGACGTCACAGACTGAAAGGTCATGGAAAAGCCCACACTAATGCTCTATTGGCCACGTGGCTTTAACATAGGCTGTTACCAGATTTTTCTATTTTAATCTTCTCAATCAGCGGCTGTTGTTCAGAAACATTGCTCATATGATGGTCGGCACGTTGTAATACCTTTTGGAGAAGTAACTGTAATACAGTAGATAGGAAATGTCTCTAAACAGCGTTTCCCATTAGCAACAGACACTAAGTTAATGTAGTTAGTAGTGAATGAGTTCCTGCTCATTTTGAGTTGTGCTCCAAAAGTTGCCATGGTGACCGATCAGCCAGAAGCTGTCGACAGAACAAACAGAAGGCCACTGCTGTGCCCTCTGGGACTGCAGATGCTTGTCGCTCATAGTTGTCCTGCCTGCGTCTCGTTCTAAGGGGATTTCTCCGTCCAGCATTGCGGCAGGTTGCGGGAGACGGTGGAGGGGTGGGGATATGCCTCGGGATCCCTGGCTGCTTTAGCAGGAGAGCAGTTCTCTCTAATAGTCACATTCTCAGTCAGTCATATATGCCTGATTACATGTAAATTTACAATTTTAAGAAACTCCGTATCTTTGAGTATATATTCTGAAATGGATGAAATTAATGCAAGATTTTTAAACATTTTTTCTTTCATTGTCTTGTGTTGTATCTGCATAAGAGAAATTCCATGCTTTACATACAAAACTTCTTAAGTTCTAAGATGCCATCAATTATAGGACATACCATTGATTTAGTAATGTTCTGTTGATAGAGTTTGAAGGTGAATGAGGAAACTATATTAAATTTATGTACCAATTGTAAGATGCATCCAAATTTCAGAAATAAGACATGTGAAGATGTGTGGGCCAAAATGTCCCTCTAGGTTAACATCTACACTAATAAAAGACAAACATGCAAATTGACTGTACCTTCACTATGCCTTAAGCCACGCCCACCAGCCAATCAGAGTGACTATATGCAAATTAACCCAACCAAGATGGCGGCCAGCAGCCACGGAGCTGGAGCAAGCAGGAGGCTTGGTTGCCCCAATGATGGAGGAAGCCAAGCTTCC